TGGTTTTGGGGAAGAGGTTGTTTCGTTTCGACGTAGCTCAGGTAATTTTTTTTATGCCTACGTCACAGACTTAAAACCACGACTGAGCGCGGGCAAAACGTATGAGCGGCACAACAACACCACCGTTCGCCCACAGACACCACAGGGTCACCACGCCCTCACTACCAGATGACGACGATGATGAAGTTTGCATTTCCTGATGGGGGAGTGTGTAAGGGGGGGGGGGGGGGGGAGAGAAGGGAGTGAGTGGGTGAGCAAAGGATAGGCGCACCAGTGCTCCCTGGCCCCGCGCACACTAAGAAAATCACCACAAGTGAAATGGCACGACAGGCCGAGTTTGTTTTGTTTGTTTTAGTAGTAAAGTTATACGGCGCTCGCAACTGCATAAAGTCATATGAGCGCCAAGGTGTGGATGTCAACAGAGAAGTCCAAACGGGGAACCAGACTTACTCTAACTCACCCATCTCTCTAGCCTCAACATCACACATTCTGCTTTGACTATCAAGGCACCCCGGAAATAACAGTTCGCGAGAAAGTGACAAACACAATAAAAGAAGTAGAGGGAAAATGGCGATGGTAAGGATGAGAAAAGAAAAAGAAGCAGTTACACCTATGTTGGTCTGGCACAGTATAAGCATGACATTGATAACTCAGCCCATTTACAATCCCACTGTCCATAAGGACAGATAATATCCCCCCTTTGGAAATGGTCTAAAGACAACTCAGTCAGAAGCACTGCCCTTGGGGGGGGGGGGTGTTAAAAGGCCGAGTAAAAAAGTAAGACCAGCGAGCAGCGGAGCGGTGCCCTCCAACCACTGATAAAAGTTTCAGAGGGCAAGAATGATATCATTTTGACACATAAAAAACAGATGTGCGCACAATGCGTGTGAGCACGCACGTTGGGGCAAGAAGGCGAAGAAGTATGCGTGTGTGTACAGCGACTGAGAGAACTGTAGTTTTTCGCTCGACTACGTACGTTGTTCTGGCATGCATGAGGTCACGTACGCGCGACTGTAGAAGGCGTTAGACTCAGCCTTTTTTTAAAAACCTTTTTTCCTTGTTCCCCTTCTTTGCGTTTCCGCACCCCGAATCAACTTTCCGGCGCACACACACACACACAAATGCTGATGAACCAAAAACACAGAGTCTGAGAAAGAGTAAAGAGAATCATTCGAGCCGATAGTAGCCAAAGTGAAAAGAGGTTCTCATAATAGTAACTGTTCTACGCCTCATTCGGCACAATTTAGATCATTTAGGAGTCAGGCTTCTTCCATCCTGCTTGTTGGAACCAACCCAGGCTGAGAAGGACATAACGTCCCAGTGGACAGACGGGAAGGGGGGGG